AGCCTCGATGGAGGATAAGGTAGGCAGAGGAGTGATATTGGAAGTTGTAACTCGGTCCCCAATCCCTTCCTCAGCCTCTGCTACCTGTCTCCCACGCAGCTGCCTCTGTGATCTCACTATGGTCCCTGGATTGATGAACCCAAGGACTGGAGTGGAATCTCAGAAACTGTTGACAGAAGCATGTCCCCATTAGTCCTTCTCCCAGTGTTTTGGACACAGCCATGAAAAGGCAAAACAGAGGACAGTGCCCACGAGAAGCAGATGTGAACAGTGGAACTGGCAGTGCTGTGAGTTTCAACACTCAAAACGGAGCTTCATCTTTCCTCAAAAGTGCCTTAGTTTATAGTCCTCTGTTTCAAGCTAGAGGGGACATTTAACATGAGAATGGGGCCACCCAGGGCTCCAAAAGCAAACAAAGAGGCATCCAGGAATCAGAAAACATGGAGCTCCTTGGTAGCTGCAGTGAGAGTATGTTGAATCAACCACTGTTGTACACACCTGTAATCCCTGTAGGCAGGAGACAGAGGCAGGAGAATTGCCATTAGTCTGAGACCAGCAGGGACTACATAGCTAGAACCAGGCCAACCAACAATATTGCCTCAAAAAAAAAAAAAAAAAAAAAAAGCACTTTTCACGAATTGTGGGAAATGGTATGGTTTCCAAGTCAGAGACATGCAAGAAGGAAAAAAAAACCTAGAAAAAGGAAATTGTTATACTAGTTCTTGTGTTCAAAGTTATTAAAGAAAAGCGACAAAAAAATTGCAGCTATAAAAGGATATAAAGTCATTTTTAAAGTTTTTTTCGGTATTTATTTCTAAATAAATAATTTTTAATATTTCCTTATTTCATTTTTTGAACATCATCAGATTTTGTCTGCACGTATATAAGTGCACCATGTGCATGCCTGGTGCCCATAAAGGCCGAATAACGGCATCAGATCCTGTAGAGCTGGAGTTAGAGAGAATTTTGAGTCACCATGTGGGTGCTGGGAACCAAATCCTGTCTAAGAGCAGCAAGTACTCTTAACCACTAGACCATCTATCCAGCCCTACCCATGATTTTTAAAGTCTCAAGTAGTCAAAGACCATTCTATCCTGATAGAAATATTTTATTAAAAAGGAATCCGGCTGTGTGAGACCAGAGACTGACACACAAGATCCCAATCCTTAGGGCATCAGAGAGGCCCTGTCTCCAGGTTTCCTAGGACAGATTTCCCTTAGTGGAATGGAAGGAAAGAATGCAGGAATTGGTTATTGAGGAGCAGTAATCAGTCATGCGCATTAGCATGAGAGGGTGGCTTCGCTGACAGGAGTTTGGCTTTCCTTTGTTCTAACTGGGAATAAGAATTAAGATCAGGTGACACAGACAGTCAAACCTTTGGCTGGTACCCAGCTTGCTTCTCACCGTGATTCTGTCCTGCCAGACGGTTCATCAGGTAGGACTTCCCTGTCCGATACAATCCAACAATAGCCACGACTACCACTGGCTGAGAAATCGTGTCCAGGATCTCGATGGCTTTCTGGTTCACAGACAGCTGCTCCTTGAAGTTTTCCACCAGGCAAATGGGAGCCATCATTTCTGGTCTGGCCATAGCCACGTGCCAAGCTAGAAGAATCTGCAAAAAGAATACAAAGTTAGTCTCTGCCTCAGTGTTACTCCAGCCCTAGGTGGCTTAGGACTGATGACATTTGTACATTCCTATTGGCAGCGAGTAGACACAGAGGACATTCTCCTCTTTCTCCATCATTCTTCCAGAGTTCTCAAGAAGCTTTTGGTAAAACACGGGCTGCCATCATCTATAAAGTTTTACTTCAGTATGATAAAAGCCAAACAATGATTACCTTCATTAAGGTCCTACAATATGCTAAGCCTTTTAATGAACGCCTTTAGCATGTGACCTCCCACAATCTGTAAGTACCTACTAGTTACAGACTACTGCACACTGCCAATGATATATGTTAGTTTCCAAAACCTTAACAACCCAGCAAAATGGCAGGCCAGTGGGTTCTAAGACCTTGTTTCCTCTGTGTATATATTTTAAAGTGGCTGAAAATGCATAGGAGCTTTGAAAGGCAGCCGTGAATTACACAAATACTGAGATGTCCAAGTGAATAAACAGTGTGGATTACATGTGTGTTTACTTGACATTTCACTGCCTAGCCCTACCTGCAACCAGACACAGATCCTGTCTGCAGGAAGCAAAGCAGACCTTAATTGCCACAGGCTAACCTGGAGCTAACCTGGTCTCTGTTTTACCAAACTTGGATTTCAAGCAGGGACTATTTCTTGAATAGGATACCAAAATCTCAACGTGAGTGAACAAATAGATAAAATCCACTCTGTAAAATTAAGGATTTTTCTGCACAAAATGATTTATAAAAAGAGTATAGAAAGGCAACCCAAGGATGGGTGAAGAGTACTGTAAATTACATATGTGATATAAGATTAAACAAATTTAAAAAGGTTATCTTAAACAAAGAACCTCTACAGTTCACCATAGACAACTCAATTTCAAAATGGGCAAAACACTGGATTAGGCATTTCTCCCAAGAATGTCTACAGATGGCCATAAGCACATGAGATAACATTCAGTTTGCTAATCACTCTGTAAAAGAAAACGCTAAAATGTTAAAGAATTTATTTGAAAAAGATACACTGTACAAACTGGAAATACCAGACTGAAAGATGAAGTGTCTATGTTCCCATGATGGCACGTCACTCAGCTCTATTAGGAAAACATGGGAGCAAATGAAGAAACTTCAGTTACTCAAGTTCTGTCTTGGAAGACTGGGAACCTGGTGTAAAAGTCTAGAGTCACATGATCTCCTGTGATCTGGCTTCTTATACTTCACTGAGGTTGAGTCTTGCCTCTGGCTAACACACATATTTACCTGAAATCACCTGCTTGGTTTTGCTCCTGCTTGCAGTTTAAGCAAGAGTGAGGTTTCTTTAAGACCTGCTTGGTTTTGTTGCTCAATAACCTTTCAAACGAAGTCTCCATTATAACAAGGCTTTAGGAAACACTGAGGAAGTAACACTCAAAACCACAAGATGTCACTTCATACCCACCGGGACAATGACTACACAAAACAAAAACAAATAAATGTGAACCACATTTTTAAAAAACTTAGATATTTGTGCAGTGTAGCTAAGAACAGAGAATTATACTACCTCATGGAGAATAGTCTTGGTGTCTTATAAATGAATAATAACATTTGATCCAAGAATTCTGCTTTGATTATATACAACACACAGATAAGGGCTTGGACAGACCTTTGAGCAGCAATGATCATGGCAGTCATACTCACAACACCTAAAATGTGGAAATGACCCACTCTCTCATCAACAGATCATCTACAGATATGTACATTAACACAGTGTGATAGCCCACACAATAGAATATTATTCAGCCAGAGAAAGGAATAAAACTGTACTTTAAACTGCAACATGGATAAGCCTTAGGACATTATGCCAAGGAAGGAAGACTGTGCAGAATCCTGAGATTTTAGGTAACAGGGGACATCACAGGTTCTCTGCAACTTAGTCCCATATATGAGAATAAGAACATAGCATGAAAATGCATAGAGCCCTATATGGTTTATAAATCTCACATCCACCCTAAACATCAACGAAGAGGATTCTGACTATCTACTTATGCTTAATAAGTTAGTGAGATAGAAACTAAATTTATTTTAAATTGGTATTTGCCAAGCCCTTGTGCTGAAATTTTCTTATTTGATTCCTACACAGAAAAGATGCTCTTCTGACTACAGTTGCCTGTGAGCCTGGCCAGGGACTCTGTATCTGTGGTCCCAGCTAAGGCAGGCAGGCTCCCTCCCAGGGCTGTTCCCACAGCACTTGCCTGTGGCCTGAGTTGAAGCTGCCAGAGCAGGGGAGCCTGGAGTGCCAGGCTGCCACTTTGCATCTGTCACTTATCAAAGGAAAGAAACTGAGCTTCAGAGACCTAAAGCCAGCCACAGACCCCTGCAAACCAGACAACACACACCTGCCTCTCCCAACCTTCCCTCAGCCGCCACTTTGAAAATCAAGTCCAGGTTCCAGACTAAGTTGTTTCTGAAAGGAAGAAAAAGTAAATATACCTGGTTCCCACACCACAGCTGCAAGCACAGTTCTAGGCTGCCTCGGGCTCCACTCTGCTTTCCTACCTCTGGCTTCCTTTGCTCCTCTTTTTATAAGCCAACCCACATCCACCACACACACACACACACACACACACACACACACACACACACACACACACACACACGCTGCAAAAAAATCACATGCTGCAGCAAAAATAAAACTGAAAGTCAAGTACTCCAAAGCCCTGTTGACTTAACCAAGATGCTGGAGGCCAGTGAGTTACTCTGCTGGCTGAGGGAGCGGTCCTCCCACTGTGGAAAGCTTTCACACTTTCACACTTTCTTTTCCTGGAACCCCTCTCCTATGTCCTCAGCACAGAAAACAAAACAAAACAAACAAACAAACAAAAAAAAAAAAAAAAAAAAAAAAAAAAAAAAAAAAAAAAAAAACCCGAGGCACCACCTAAGGGAAGTTCCACAGTCCAGGGCTGATGCAAGCATGTTTCTCTCAGTGGAAATTCCCTGTGCTTACTTAGCGAAGAGCTTTAATGTTTTTAACCCGTCTTCTGAAACAGAAACCATTCATCTCAACACGGTTTTGAAAAGAAGCGATTAGAAAATACTAAGAAGGGTCTGCGAGATAGCTCATGGGGAAGCGCTCTGCAGGCTGCAGCTGGACAAGCTGGTGACACAACTCCATCTGTGGACCCACGCCAAGGTGGAGGAGAGAACAGACTCCACAGAGTCGTCCTCTCACCTCCACATGGGTGTCCTGGCATGGGGATGCACAGAAATGAACACATTTATTTAAAAAAAGAAAATAATTACAATTCTAGGAAGACTTAGATTTTAAAATGAGTATGATTAGGGACACCAAACAGCTAAGCAGCTTAAGACTTTCAAGGAAAAACAATACAAATTAAATAAAAATGTCTCTTTTCACAAATTATTAATGTCTGATTTAAAGTAAGACCTTTAGTGAACAGAGCTTGTCAAACAGTTTAAAATACCATCTTCAACACAGCTGGTTTCCTTTCTAAGAGTTGACATCTTGGTGGTGAGCTCCTGCCTGTGAGGGACCAGCCGCTCAGGCAAGGCTCCTCCAGGAGCCACCTTAAAGCAGACAGGGTGGGAGCAGCTGTGTGAAGAGCTCTGATGACACCAGCCAGGGCTGAGGGACAGCAGCACTGAAGCCAACCCAGCCCCCTCCTGCCTTCCCTCCTGCCATGAGCACCTAAAACCCCAAAAGTACAGGGCGACTCCAGGAAAGGCAGGAAAACAAAACCTGCTAAACACATCTGCCAGAAACCCTGTTACTCCTGGGGAAACTATTACCAATCTGTCACCAGGCAAACCTGGATCCTCAGAACAATGGCATGCTCTAAACCCTGTGCCTTGAGGTACAGAGGGCTGATGAGGCCTTGGGAATTCAGACAAACCAAACTAGGGAGCCAAGCCTAAGCCACATCAGTGTGCTCTACTCAGACATTGCTGGAAGCATGTTAAATCTTTCCTATTCAAAAATGTTATCCAAAATTTCAATTGCAAATTTCTAGACATGCCAGTAAACATGATCAAATATCCCTAAAGTGAGAGCATAGAAAGAGGTTCACAAGTAATCCAGACTTGATTAGCAATCATTAATAATATGACAATTGATTGCTACACTCAAAGATAGAAAGAAAGGAATTACAGATTTCTTATTACAAAACACAAATCTGTTTTAAAAACCATCATAATTAAGATTAGAATAATGCATTTAGCAACCACTTAAACACTGATAGATTAGAAAGAAGAAGTGGAGAAATACATGACTGATATTGAAATGAAATCCATCCTGAATGAGAATTATCATAGGAAAAAAGAAGCTCTAAGTTGGAAAGACAGAGAGCTACATGAGAGCATAAGGTAACCCAGACTCAGAAAGACAAATATGGTATGTACTCACTCATAGGAGGATACTAGATGTGGAACAAGGATGATTGGACTGCTACTCACATCACCAAGGAAGCTACCTGGAAAACAGGACCCCAAGAAAGACACGGGGATCGCCCAATGATGGAGAAATGGCTGAGATCTACATGAACAACCTGGACATGAGTGGGAGCAATGAAGGGCGAGGATCGAGGGAAAGAGAGCCTGTGGGAGCGGGAGATCCCAGCTGGATCAAGAACAGAGAGGGAGAACAAGGAATAGGAGACCATGGTAAATGAAGACCACATGAGAAAAGGAAGAAACAAAGTGCTAGAGAGGCCCACAGAAATCCACAAAGATACCCCCCAATAGACGGCTGGCAATGGTCGAGAGACAGCCGGGACTGACCTACTCTGGTGATGGGATGGCCAAACACCCTAATAGTCGTGCCAGAAACCCCATCCAACAACTGAGGGATCTGGATGCAGAGATCCACGGCTAGGCCCCAGGTGGAGCTCTGGGAGTCTAATTAGCGAGAAAGAGGAGGGTTTATATGAGCAAGAATTGTTGAAACCAAGGTTGGATAAAGCATAGGGACAAATAGCCAAACGAATGGAAACACATGAACTATGAACCAAAGGCTGAGGGGCCCCCAACTGGATCAGGCCCTCTGAATAGGTGAGACAGTTGATTGGCTTGATCTGTTTGGGAGGCAACTAGGCAGTGGTACCGGGTCCTGTGCTCATTGCATGAGTTGGCTGTTTGAAACCTGGGCTTATGCAGGGACGCTTGGCTCAGTTTGGGAGGAGGGGACTGGACCTGCCTGGACTGAGTCTACCAGGTTGATCTCAGTCCTTGAGGGAGGCTTTGCCCTGGAGGAGGTGGGAATGGGGAGTGGGCTGGGGGGAAGGGGAGGGGGACATGAGAGGGGAGAACAAGGGAATCCGTGGCTGATATGTAGAACTGAATGGTATTGTAAAAGAAAAGAAAAAAAAGAAAAAAAAAAGAAGTCTGCAGGACTTGACAGCAGGGTCTGAAGGACCTGAACTGGATCTCCTGTGAGGGGGAAAAGCGGAAGACAACCAGCACATAGAGAATCACTGGCCTGGGCCTGAGAGGACAGGCCCGTGCATGTGCAGCCTATGTGAAGCCAGGGCAGCAACTCCAAGGTCAAACAGGCTGCCCTGGTGACAACAGGCTGTCAGGAGGAACCCATCACTCTCATGAGCCTTAAATCCAGCTCGGGTATTCCACCTGACACTGTCTCCTCCTGCATGGCAGAGCAGTACTGGGATAAATCATTGAACCCATCACTGTCATGGGGATGCCATGGGAAAAACATGCATGGATACACTTATGTTGTCCACATGTCAGAATATTGAAGAACAATGCATTCACAGGCTGCGTCAACTCTCTTGTCTTTCATTTCACAGGCACTTTTGTTTTTTCTGAGGCTTCTGCTTCTGGCAAGTGTAAACTGGTTCCTTCCAATCCTGGTAACCAATATATTGCCTCTCAGATCACAGACTGTAGTGAACACAGTGATACACAGTATCAAGAAAGGTTGCAGTGGTGCAAGGTTAAAGCAGAGTTGTGGAAGGAAAAACAGAGTTGATACAAGTGCAGCAGAGAGAGCTATTCTGGAACAGGGTAGCCAATAAATACTCAGTTGGTTCAAGGCACAGTGTCAGTTCAAGATCCAGACAGGGTTCAAGGACAGATTGCTCCAAAGCACGGAGCTGACTCCAGGCATAAGGGGTCTGAACAAATGGGAGCTCAAGTGAGCCACTTCACATAGGGCTGGTCATGGTGAGCAGAAGTCCTGGGGTCAGAGTTGAGAGTCTGTTGCCTTGTGTCTAGTGATGCACTTATCAGGTGGCCTGATGATGACTCAGTGGGTGTGATCCAAGTGAGGGCAGGACAGTGCTCGTTGCTCTGGTGTTCTGGACAAACACACAGCTTGGTTTCTTAGGCAAGGTTTTCAAACATCATGGGTCTAAATGTTTCTAGCTTGATATGCTTATAAGTAGGAATAATTCATTTGTATGATAAGTTATTTATCAATCTATGTATTATTGACTTGCTGAACATTTGCACATGTAAGATATTGAGTCATTTTGCCTCAGCATTTGCTTTCAAAATGAAGCAAACCACTGCTGTATAAAATGGAGTCACTCAGGGCAAGGCACACTCTGAAAACTACTGTCCTATACAATACAAAGGAACACAGATGGGCACAGCCTGAGCTCTGCACACTTCATCTCTCACAGTGCTGGAACCAGGAGCTTCTGTTCTCTGAGTTTGAGCTGTGGTGTGAATCCAAAACCATCAAGCACATGTCGTGGTGCCCTGGGATGCACTGGGTGGTGGGCAGCCATGAGGGACAGTAGTGGAGGTTGAAGTGACTGATAGACACGCTCCAGGCTCAGGCTGTGGAGGCCTGAGGACAGGCAGCCCTGCCTCCTGTACCGGGAATGACATGGCTCCTGTGGATGACTGCTGAGCCTGAGAGTTCTGAGCAGGTGGCTGGAAGATTCTTTGGTTTGTGAAACTGCCTCATGCTGTAATTTGTGTGCAGCAGACAGGGGCTGAGAAGTCGGAACCTGATTGAAAGGATGACTCACTTTCCACAGCTTCTTCCTTATTGCATGGTGGTTTGCTGCTGGATAGGATCTGAAAATGCTTAGGCACACAGCTCAGCTCCCAGGACTTCTCTCCATTCCAGAACTCCATGCTCTGTATGGGATCCCCACTTTCCCCAAAGCATCCGGGAGACAAGGCTTTGTTTAGACAAACCCACAAACGGAAGTGTCTACCTGGACTACAGGCCACATGACCTCTGGGACTTGCAGTGGCAAAGAACATACAAAGACAGGAGGTCTTTAGAGTGAATGATGCTCTGTACTTAAGGCACCTGTGTCCTGTGTCCAGCACCAGCCGGGAAGGCGGCAACAGAGAGGGACGGTACACACCAAGTATGACCCCAGTGCCCCAGACCTGGAAAATTCTATGAGAGCATCAAGAGAGAGGCTCGTCCAAGTCTCTGTCTTCCAGATATTAAAATATGTGTTCTTTTCATATAGCACATTATTTTTAAGAATTTAAAAAGTTTTTGATCTTTTGAAAATCCCTGTCTTGTGTTTACTTAATCTTATTGTTGTTGACTATGAGGCAGGGTCTCTTTGAATGGTTCAAACTTGCCACAAATTTGTGATCTTCCTGTCTCACCTTCCAAGCGTCAAGATGGTAGGTATGGGGTTTATTTATTTTATTTATACTTTTTAAACTATGTAACTATATTTTTAATCTCCTGCTCTGTTCTTTTCCTCTTTCTCTACTTTTCTCTTTTAT